TTTTTTTTTTTTTTTTTTTTGTTAATCCTCGCTTCAATGTAGAGATGATGACAGATTCGAATGCAGCCACAACACTACTAACTGAATCGAATGTAGTGAATTCAATGAAAAAACACTCGTTGAAGTAAACCTGGTATACTGAATGAACTTTATTTTCAAACAATTTACTTAAATTTTGCATAATTTTAGCTGCAGATATTCACAACCAAATGTCACACATTCACTTAATTCTACTCGACACTCGCCTTCGAGTTTACCCTCTAAATTAAAGTAACGCGAAACGACAACTGCAATCAATCATATTCCCATTATATTGATTAATTTGTACCTCGCTATCTGTAACCGGTTCTGACAGTTTTTGACAGCTATTTTTGTTTTTTTTAATTTCTTGTCCCGAGTCTCAGTGGACAAACAGGTAACACATCGCCTTAATGTACTTGCTTCCATTGTCCCCGCTTTGTGCCGCGTGTCCACACGTATTGGAATCGTCAGGAGATCCAGCTGAACCAAACCCGATTCTGGAGTCGCAAGTCCAACAATCGTCCTGATTGTTAGCAGCGAAACCGGTTTTTACCCTGGAATTAGGACCCCAGAGACAACGAGCATTGAAGCCTTCCAAGTTTCAGTTCATCTGTAAGGAGGCCTGGGAACCAATTAGCGTCTTCCACGTGTCACGACCCAGTGAAGTGGCGCGATGTTGTCCGTCAGCGAGCAGCGAGTGCAAAGAGTCAGCTGTCTGGTTTATGACGAGAAAATTGATATTTTCCTCGCCAGGGATCCTCATTCCGAGACAGATCTTGGTGAATGGTGTGTTCCAGTAGGTCGTCAATTTTGTCTCCTCTGTATCAAAAACATTCTCTCCTCCGGCAGGATTATATGTTTGCTGTTCGTTCCAAATGCTTGAATCATAGTGAAAGGTTCCCTAAACGACAGAATGTTTAATATACAACAATGCTGTTTCTTAAAGACGGCTTATATATTTTTAGGCTATTAACTGAACAAATAAATACATAAATAGTTATACGCTATGCAATTTGACAAAGTTTGAAAACGTCGCACACATAGAGCAATTAGTATCTTTGCTTACCCATACCGCGTGGCCTGCGCAATCATAAAATGACACTATTACTTTTTATGAATGCTGGAATGTTTTCGAAGAATTAAAAAGATTTCGTGGAAATCGGCACTCAGTGCTCTAAAAACTGTTTCCTTATATTTACCGTACTTATACCCGCAATTAGCCAATCAGAAGCCGTGACTACTGTCCTGATATCTTGCGATGTCAGGTCACTAGCCGTGTAAGCTTCGGAGGCATATGATATTCGTTTGGTCTCGCCATGGGTATTTTGGCTGAACTACGCTATACGTCGCGCCAAAATATAAATCATGGCTCGACCAAACTCACCTGATATGCCACCGAAGCGTACCAAAAAGGCACGATTAGGTAAAAATATTTTGAGTCTTCTGTTGGTCTGTAAAAAGTAATCTCGTAATATTTAATTACTACAGTCTCTAATAACCTTTGAGCCGTCAATCTTCATAACAAGTTTCCAGTGATCTTCTCCACACACACCAAGACCACAGTATGGGTTCCCCTCGTTAGTCCTATGGAGTAAAAATGGTGCCTTTAGTCTTGAAACAAAACATTAAATTGTCATTCATTATCCGGACGCTTTGGTACTTTATGTCGTGTTTTTTTCTTTCTTTTTTTTTTTTTCTTCCCAACAATAAACCCCGTGAAGCGTGCTTGTGATTGCGTGGTTGAGATCAGAGCAGTTTTTTGAATAATTATTAGTAATAGCATAAGTACACCAGTTACACAGATTCATCCGATCCAGCTCAGGTGACCAACATTATAAGTGAACAAATTTTCTTTCATGCTTATATTTACATGCCTTCAATAGTACGGTTATGGTAAAATTCTTTCATGGGCTCTTTTTTAATTGTTTTTTTCTACTGATTGGTAAGAAAAATTATTTTCCTATTTTGAGGTAGCGTTTCTGGTACTTGGCCTTACTTTGAAAGCCTTGTTTACCATCTCTTGTATAAGCTGGCCTCCTGCTTTCGTTTTAGATTTTATCAAGAGATTATTGATAATCTCTTGATCTAATTAAATACGTGCTCACCTGCACCTTGAATCTACTTAAGCAAAATGAGTTAAGCTAAGTGTTTCCACTCACAGATTCCTGTCGTAAAGTTCCTTGCATTGCAAAACTAGATCAAGAAAGAAAAGTGACAGACATTTAGCCGGGAATTTAGCAGAGAATCCGGCCACCAAGACGGTGCGGGAGTCAAACAAACAAGATGGAAAGAAAAGCAGTTACACACTAGTCGAGACGCAATAAAATTAACAGAACTTCATTTCTGATATCCTTAAGAATAAACTAAAGAAAGATTCTGCGATGAGACAATGATACTGAAGATAAATTATACTCTCATGTTTGGCTAATTGATGCCTCAGAACGAATATAATCAACTTAATTACGTGGAACAGCACACGATTTGGTAATATATATATTAATTTCTAATTTAATACGGGAGAGAATTCGAACATTTAAAAGGGTCAGTTAAACCCGCTCTTTTTAGAATTAAGTCGCAAGTTTCTAATTGGTTATGGACTTACTTCAAGTATTACAAATGTATATAATATACTATTCAATAATTAAAATAGCTCATTAAAAAGTTCCATGAGAAACAGAGTTTGTTCCTCTCGGCTCATTTATGAGACCCATTTCCGATCGAGCTTTTCGGTTGTTATCACTCTTTTCTTTCCTGTTTTCCCTTTGCTTATTTTGTTTCTGAATTTTAATTTCTTGCTATACTTATTCACTTTTCCTTTTTCTGTCGGCACCACCTTCCTTTCTATTCGTGTTCAATCGTTGAAGGCTCAGTAGTTTCCACCTGCGCAAAAGTATTGGGACTCATACACAAACGCAGTGAGATGTCTAACACTGCACCTTTTACTAAGAGGCATCTTACTGCGTTTCTATATATGTTGCTTGAAACCAGCTTTAAACATTTTAGTCCAGAGCAATCTCATCTTTTCACTGTTAAGAATCTTTCACCTTCGCAAACTCGTCCATCGCCATAATATGGAGGTATGCAATCGCATTTGTATGATCCCATGGTATTATCGCAGACAGCATTGACATAGCAGTCGTCTGTTCCAAGAGCACACTCGTCAATATCTAAAAAAAAACAACAAATGTATGGGTCATTTTCCCAAGCGTACGGTAAAGATGGCTGGATATTGGCCGAATTGGCCACAAACACCCTAAGGAGCACATGACCAAAATTAAGCAATCTTCGCCGAACAACCATGGTTAATAACGTGAAAGATAAGTCTTTTAGTATTAGATCTAGTAAATCTATCAAGGGAAGCTTAAAAACGTCACGAATGTCACAAAAGTTGAATTTTAAGTCTTAAGTGTTAATAAAGGGTTTATTATTTTCACTTTTTTTCGAAAAAGGCAGGTAATCCCGCTCGGGTAGCCAATCACAGTGCAAGATTTGGTTTAATTTGTCCTGCTTGTGTTAAAAAAAAACTGGTCACAAAAATAAGTATTGTTTCTTTCACAAACTCAAAGCCTTTTGAGTTTCTGTATTTTAACCAACTTGATATTGGTTCGATACAAACAGGTATCAATAATATGAATCTCAAAGTATCTAGTTATGATAAAAAGACAGATGTATGACATTCCGCGAGAGTATAATTATCAACCCTTGGACGTACAGGGAGCGAGGGAACGAAAGATGCCTCTTCCTCCCCATCCCTGGAGGTTTTTTTCCAATATTGCAAAAGAAAGTATCAAATATAACTATATTTCACTGACCTTTCATTATATAGCTTTAGAATTTCAATATTTCTCAAAAGACTCATTTTTTGGACAGTGTTAGCCAGATAAAGTTCACTTAATGATGAAAATATTTTAATAAAGACTTTTGTCTTTACCGCGAATAAAAATTGCTCTCTTATCTCATTTTATTCGTATAGAACATCCGCATGGGCCATCCTGTTAAAATATTTGTTATTATTATTATTATTATTATTATTTTTATTATTATTATTATTATTATTACCTTCG